AAATTGAAATAAATTTTTGGTTAAATATTAATTTTGGTCCCTTAATTTTATAAGTTTGCACTTTTTTGGTCCCTGAACTATTTTTTGCAGTTTTTTGATCTCTCAACTCTAAGAACTGCACAGTTTTGCTCCTTTCGTCATTTTCAATCATTAACTCCGTTCACGTGGCATTTTTTATATTTTTTGTATGACATGGAAAAGATAACTTAAAAAAATGCTGATATGGACAAAATATTATGCAATGTCATATTCTTACAAATCAAATACACCAAAACCCCTTAAATGGGTCTCATATTACCTACAAAGAACCAATTAAAAAAGATAATATGTCTATGAATCCTAAATGCTTGAGAGCAGAATTGAGGCTTTCTGTCGTCAAACCCAACTACTGGGTTTCATTCAAGCCATTGGGTTCATCAAACCCAACATATCTCATCAAATCAAATTAACCCTTCAATAAACAATATCAATCAAAATCTAATCAAATTCCAACAAAAATGCAATCAAATTATAAATAAACTCCCAAATTTACTAAGAACTAGCAATGGAAATCAAAAGAAGAATGAAAAAACATGAAACCCAGCTTTCGTCAAACCCAATGACAAGCAAGGTTGGGTTCGACGAACCACAACAAGGCTGGGTTTGACGGAACCCAACAGATCTGGGTTTCATCGAACCCAACAGAGTTGGGTTTATCGAAACCTTGCCGATATGGGTTCCATTGAACCTAATAGCTAGGTTTGATGGAAACCAGCAGATCTGGGTTCGGTAGTTGCACCGACCCAACGTAGGAAAGAAAGAAAGAGAAAGAAAGAAAGAGAAAGAAAGAAGAGGAAGAGGGATTGGGAGGGCAAGGGTAATAACATAATTTTATTTTTTTTTATTAAAATATAAATATTCATCTACATGGCATTTTTATTTATCTACATAACATAATTATAATATATATTATTGTCACATCATAAAAAAAATTAAAAGAAAATATCATATGAAATTATTTAACTGCCACGTCATGCTTAACTGACGGAGAGATCAAAATTGTGCAATTTTTAGAGATAAGGGATTAAAAAAGTGCAAAAAATAGTTGAAGGACCAAAAATATGCAAACCTATAAAGTTGAGGGACCAAAATTAGCATTTAACCTAAATTTTTTTATTAATTGAACTTTTGTTTAAATTGTTTTTGCCTTTATCTAGAGCGTGCTATATTTGAAATGGCATAAAGAGGTGCACTAATGCGGTCAGATTGTTTTTACAAGTCTTCATTTTTCTTCATGTTATAATTAATGGTTTTTAATTCATCATATAAATTTGTTCTTTTTCTAATACATAGATGATCCCAATACTATGTTTGATGTATTTGGAGATTAGAGTTAGAAGAGATGGGGACACTCATATTTCGGAGTGAACCAAGGAAACGAACTTCATTTTTCACTTTGTTGCGTTGTTTTATAACTCATCTATGCAAAACAGGTAAATGATAACACATTCAATTATAAGACTACATGCCACACATTATCACCAAAGGAAGGAAGGCTTTATATGGTTTTATAAGTGCCACAAAGGTTCCTGATGGTTATTTCTCTATTGTTGCTTGGTATGTTAATGGGAATGAATGCAATTTAGTTGTGATGAAATTTTATGATTGTTATATTTTTTTACAATGATTCCTTCCATTAACAATACATGGTGTGATAAAAAAGGATGCTTGTGAGCCATTAATAAGGTTGAGTGCATTTTTTAGGTAGTTGTGTTAAGAAGTTACGCGTTGAAGACATGGAAATACTCAATGAGTTAGTAGTCTTAACTCTATGCAAGTTGAAAAAAGATTTACCCCTTTCATTTTTTGATGTAATGATTTATTTAATTATATATTTGGCTTTTGACGTAATAATTCATTTAACTATATATTTGGCTAAATAGACTATAGTCTTAGCTCAGTAACTTACAGGTGGATGTACTTTGTTAAGAGATTTCTACCTAGATTGAAATTATATGTTAGAGTAAGGTAGGGAAAAGACGACTACATTGATGGCTATTCTAGAGCAAAGCAGGAGTTTCTTTTGGAGGGAAAATATATTTTTGGTTTTCCCATCTTCTCGTATTCTGATTGATGTTAATTATAACGATTTATTATCAATAATGATTGACGTGTTTTTGTTTTTGTTTAATGTTTGAGCAGAGGTCATAGTCTCGATGAGATTAAATTGAAGTAATAAGAATCTAAATTCAAGTACCGATGATAGAAAAAGAAGTTTAAATTCAACTAGGAATCTAAAAAAAAAAAAAACCTTCTCCCAGTTGCATACGGACAAACCCATTAACAAATATAATTAACAATCAATATTTTTTTATCCGAGTTAAGGATTAATAATAATGTTTCATTATAACAATGGCAAAGTAAGATTGGGCTCCACACAACTGTTATATTAATTAATAATTTTGAAATAATAGTATATTATATTATACTTAACCTTATGTTTGGATCAAAAGAAATGTAAAAGAGTAAAAAGTTTTTTAATTAATCAAATTATAATATTTTTTAAAATATTATAATATATTTAATTAAAAAATCTTCACCTCTTTTCGTTCCTTTCAATCCGAATATAAGAGAAAAATATAATTAAATTTTGATTTTAAAAAGCTTGTTAATTATTTATTTGATATATAATTGAAGATTTTAAAAAATCTATATTGAGTATTTATTTTATACTATTTATTAAAGATTTTATAAGGTCTATTGTATATTTATTTTGTATTTATTAAAAAATTTTAAAAATTTATTAAATATTTATTCAAGATTTAATGAATAATTTAATAATTTTGATAATATAATAAGATAAAATTCTATCAAGAAGAACATATGTAGCTGTTAAAAACATATTTTTAGAGGTCCAAGTACTCAGTTGTGAAGTTGAGATACAAATCGAATTTCCTGATCAAACAATTCTTCCAGAACTTTAGCTGCTACCTGTGAGTTATGAAAAATCAAATTCAATTGTTGACTGGGACTTGACAGGTTTGCTTCTAAGGTGGTTGAACCCATTATTAGATAAGACTTGCACAGCTTAAAATTTTTTGACCCAATTGCCTGGGCGAACTTGCATGGTTGATATGAAAAAAGCGATTAGATTGAGGATATTAAGTATTTGATTTGGTGTAACTGAAGTTTTTAATAAAAATTTTGTTAAAAAAATTATTGTATAAGTATTATTTTTTAAATAAAAAAATAAAAAAAACATATTAATTTTATTAAAATTTAAATAAAAAACTCTTACAGAAATATTAAATTAATACTTTTAATATTTATAATAAAATAAATAAAATATTAATTTATAAAAAATTATAATAATTTTTATATATTATAATATTTGATACAATTAAAATTTTAAAACTCTAAAAAAAAACTTCCAAGCAACTGTAACAAATATAACTTGATTCTCTTTTATTTAAGATGTTGAAACGTTAGCCGCCGCCGCCTCTCTCTCTCTCTCCCCTCTGATACCCTTTGCTACTTTTTGGTCTCTTTTGTCCTTCATGGCCGCCTCTATTTTCTCTCGGTGGGTAGGAAATATGAAAATCTTAAGGTGGGATTTTTTTTATTTTTATAGGTTTCTCTCTCGTTTGTTTAAGTTTCTCTTTTTTTTTGAGAGGATTGCTAGGAGCACTCGCTCCAGCACTCTTCCTTCAGCAACTGCTCATCTATTTATTCACGTAACTCAATTTTTTACACGGGAAATTGAAAATCGGTTACAAAACTTCAACAAGAATGTAAGTCCCACATATTAAATGATACGTACTATAATTGATTTTATTTTGAAAAATATCTTCTATTTCAACCCCTCTACTCTCTTTCTTTAAGTGATCGTTCCACTGGTAATCGACAAAATACTTTTAATTCCTTCTTCCATTGAACAATCCAAAATGATGAAATTTGTACGATAAAAAAAAGCCTTTTTTGGGTGAATATCAGTAGAAAATGAGGACAATAGAAAGCAATATTATGAATATTTCCTAATTTTTAAACAAATAATTATCAAAAACTGAGAGGAACTGTAAAGTACTTCGAGGTTTTACAGGGATCTAAAAGAAAGAAGAGAGTGATGAAAATTAAACCAAAATAACTTAATGTTCAACAATTCAATTATGAAGGAGGGAGTCTCCTTATTAGATTGAAATATCCCTTTAACTGTCAATTTAATGGAAACTGTGACGGGTTGCCAGATCTACGGTGACTCCTCGCCAAGACCACCCATTGTCCACCAATCCTCAACCCACCCAAGTATACTCTGCTTACCACCATGAAACGTTTAAATTTTATGGTCTTACCTAGTGGTTTGATTAAATATACCCACAAACTTACAGAAAAAATTCCAACTTGGTTCGAGCTTCAACAGAGCTAATAAAATTGAAACCATGTTAGTTGATTCCAACTTCTTCCATGAAACCTTTAATTAAATGCCTTTGTTTTTTTCTTTAATCATTTTTTTTCCTTATTTTCTTCTTTGCTGTTTTCTCTTATTAAGTTAATATAACTTTTTATGCTAAGAATAAAAAGTATAATAATTATTTAATATTATTAAAGAGATCAAATAAAATTAAAATTAATTAGATAATTATTAATTAAATATTGTAATAAAAAATATTGTAAAAATAATAAATTTATTAATAAAATTAAAAAATTTTAATTTACTAGTAATTTAATATAAAAACTTACTAAAATATTTTTTTCAATTAATAGTGGATTAGATTCTAATTATTATTTACTTCTCTCAAACCATAAATAAAAATTTTTATTGTCATTTTAAAATAAATAAATTTATTAAACGCATATACTATAATAATTTGGAAAAAATTACTGACAACTAAACAAACCCTAAGTTTTATATTTTTTACTACATATTATTTTTTTTATTTTTTCATCACTACTATTGTATTATAATAAAAATTAAAATTAAGATATCTTATTATTTTAAATATTCAAATTTCTTATAAAATTAT